ATTGCCCTATTGTAAATACAAGCGGGTCAAAGCTGCGATAAAAATGAATTATATTGATGAGGGTCTCGTCAAAAACAAAGTGATAAATAAGTCAAGAAGTTCGTTTATAATGATAGCAACATGACAAAACCTAACTTAACTGAGCTTGATTAAAGACATGAACAGTGAGGTACATAAAGGACCAGGATGTGTTGGTATGACGACGTTCAGATCATTATCAGTCACCGGGCCATCCCATAATTCAACATAACACGAATAAAATATTAGTAAAAGTATAACGTTTAGGAATTTGACGATTTCAAATATAGGATAACACTTCCTATTCAAGCGGACTTAGTTAACTCAATTCAAACAAGCCCCTAGCAAGACATGAGGAAACTAACACTTAACCTTTCATCTGTGTCCCTTTACTGGGAACTGCCAATTATTAATGGATGAGATTACGTTGAGCTTTTCTTTTAAAATAAGTATTTCGAATAGACATTGAATAATTCAATATAAAAAATAATAATTTATTGTAAAACAATGAATTTATGTACAACTTATCCTCAGATAATTTTATGTTTAACTGCCATGAACAAAAATATTTCATTGTCTCCCTCAGGAGCAGATCACTACAGCCAGGCATGCCTCGCATCTATAACTCTCCCCTATTTTATATATCTGAAACTACACTTGGCTGAATAGCTCAGGTGTAAGACAGATCTAAAGGTACTGGTTCAAATCCAACTGGAGTAGAGACTTTTTACTACATTAATTATATAAAAATTGAAATAAACATTCTAGTTCCCATATTGATAACCTAATTCCAATGCATTGTACTTTTACAATGTTTATCAAACTTCATATAAACAATGTTACAATTTATTGCCATCTTCTCCAGAAATAGCAGCCAAAATTCTAGACAAAATATAATATTCCTATATACTCCAATTTAATTGAAATATGAACAAATAGCTGAATAAAAATACATTAATAGATTGTATTTTTTCTTCAGTATACATCAGTATAATGTTGAATAGATTTTTCTAAACAGACCTTAGACCATCTAAAAATCCAAAAACTAAATGTACATCTTGGCTCAGTAGACATAATAATACATACAATACAGTGAACGTGTCAAAACCTAGAATAACAGATTTTGGGGGGATGAAGCTCTCTTTTAAAAAACCAAAATGAAACTATTGGAAAGAGCAAATCAACATAGATATTGTGATTCAAGGTTACTTGACATTCCAAGATTTATGAACATTTTATTTAGAGGCGATTAATAAATCATTTCAACAGTATCTGAGGAATTCATAACCAAGTGTAACCTCTAACGCTCACACATCTTACTCTCTGGAAGTGTACTCCTTGTGTTTATTCATTCATATAAGTGTAGAATGACACCATGATTAAAAAATCTTCTTTTTCTTTCTTAGCCTCTAACGCTCACACATCTGACTCTCTGGAAGTCATACAAGTATAGAATGATACCATGATTAACAATATCATCTTATTCTTTCTTAGCCTTTTTGCAAAACAGTAACATAATAGTGGAGTGGAGTAGAATGCATAATCTGCATAATTATCTTTTCAATGTAAGTTTATACACTAACATTATGCACAAATAGATTCATAAATTGTCCTCGTTGACTCTCCTTTAATGCCCAAATGACATCAATATGTTGTTGCTCTTAATGCCGTACATGAGAGTCAATCTCCCATGATTCAAAGGAGTCCCAACTCCCTCAAATCAGGGCTACATCAAAATAAAGAAACACTTAATATAACATAATACTATATAATGTCAATGTTTAAACTGTTCATAATAGAATATTACATCATTACAGTATATCTTTACTTGTTCGTTAATGCACCGAGTCTTTTTGGCTAATCATCCAGAATGATGGCAATGTCAATGTCACAGGTTTTACACGTGATTTCACATGCGGTCCAATGTAACTTTTCCCGGAATTGTGTTCACTAAATTACACAAAATGTACAATGGTTTAATAAAGCAAGAGAAATGTGTAAGCAAACCATCCATGAATATATCTTTTTTTGGTGGTACAATTTCTGGATATCTTTTCTTGATTATCTCAGTACAATGTTAAATCCTCAAAGATATTCATACAAAATCAGAACTATCTACTTATCTGTGAATTTCGCCCATTTTCAATATATTTCCAATTTCATATATGACCACCATGGCCATGGTATCAATGGGTTGTACAAGAATCAATGGTGTTCCAATGAGTTTAATATGAGAATTATCCCACTTCATTTGCCTAAACCCATGATGAACTTGTAATCCTTTTCAGGTCATATATATTTACAACATTGAACTCCCCATGTATAAGTTGGGTTATCAAAGAAAATAAAGTAAGTAAGTAACAGGGGAGGGGTGATTCAAGAAATAATCAAGAAGAATGTTTAAATGCATAAGAAGTGAACTAGGAGACACAAGCCTACGATGATGAGAGAAATGGGGCAGATAGAAAATGATGGGACAATCCCAATGTACGAGATGATGATGTTAAAGATTCTGAGGCAAAGGCGGAAAGCATTAAAACCAAGGCTGTTGACAGAATATGAAAATCTGACTTTGACATATACAAATGGATTCAAAAGATGTGCTAATAGGCTGTAAGTAAAGAAATATGGACTGCAAATTTTAACAAACTTGGGTTTATGCACTTATGAACATTTAGAGACACTTTTCCTTTTTAACCTTGAATTCCAGCCAACATATCCTATAATAGTCAGAAACGTAACTCCCCATGCAGATTTGGACAATTAATTGGTGATTGTGCATATAACACAAATCAGTTCAAGCAGATGTTGTCCTAGAAATGCGTAAATGGCCCACAAAAAGATGAGGCAAAGTCACATGATGTTACGCAGGTTAAATCCATTGCACCAATTTTTCAAGTTTATCGTCCATATCAAATAATCAAATATATTATAGAGGACATTTAGGATTGGGTTCAGAGAGTACAGACTTTGACATGATTAGAAAGATATCTTTGATCAACTCCCAAATAAAATATAATCAAATATATGTCACTAAGTACACATCATGTTGTGAAAAATACACAAGTATGATGTGCTTAGAGAGGTTGATATTATTTGTGTAAATGAAATGGAGAGACTCCAAATTGAACATTGCAGAATAGCATATTGCAATATAGGCCAGGACCATCTTTTAAGTCCAAACTTGGACAGAACAGGCAAGAACAAGAATTCAAATATTAAACACATACTTTGTAAATGCATATCTTATTTTGTTTATACATGTCTAGAGGAATATCATCTTAGAATTATGGAATTAAAACATACTTTACTATGACATACAGGGTGACCCAAAGTAACAGGACTAGAACTACTTGTATGATAAAAATCACAGTACCCCAGAAACTTTTTATTATAAAAGTTATGTATGAAACATTGTTTGAATTAATACATCCATTAATAGCCATCCTTCATTCAAATGACTTCATTTATCACTCAATTCATATCTCGTCAACATGAATGATAACTTGGCGCATATTGCAACAGATTTCAACATCTTTTAGATAACCCATGAGCAAAGTGATATTGCTGCCATGTTTAAGAACAGAAAATAGAGAAAAAGAGAGGAATCAGCAAGGAATTACATAAGCAGCTCTAAATTGTAAAAATGCCAGAAAATTCAGTGGTTTATTTAAATTTTTGAGAAAAAAGGTTACACATAAGGTAGATTCAACTCAAAGGTGATCCTTTAGTATTAGGTCAATATGAATGTAATTGTTTTGCAATAATGAGTCTCTATCAAGTAGGTATAGAACATAAAGCTGATGCTGAAGTGCTTGATGAACTTGTTGCTAGCGGTTGTCATGATAAGGCAGCACTAGAGAAGAAATAGGTGCAAAATTATATCACAGAAATTCTGTATTGTAATTTCATGACACATGGAATCTCCTGTCCTAACAGCTTGGCTTATTCTAAACTTGTTCCCATAAACTCACCATGCTATTGCATTATAGAAGTGAGGGAAGCATGTCAGAGGCGAGGAACTTTGTCTGATGCCTCCTCCCTACAATTCGGGCATTAATAGCAGGGAAACCTACAATCCTACATTACTATCATTGCCATTATCATAACATAGCACAAGATACTGCATTGTCAAACAAACAAAAAAGTCAACAATTCTCACAATATCCAAAATGGCAAGACCATAGAACATGTTGAACAACTGAAAAGAAAAGAACACCAACACTCTAACATCAACATTCTGTTCCGAATCACTCATCATCCTAACTTAAACCTAGACACCTATTATAGTTCTCCTCCAGAGATGGTAGGGACTGTAGAACTCACAATATAGCATTGTTAACATTTTGGAGAGAATATAGAAAGAAGTCTAATGCACAGCCATATGGAAACAATAGAGGGACATCCCAACTTGAGTTATTTCTCTTGTCTGTGTCAACTAAACTATAAAATGTTTGAGTTGACAAATACATAAGTGTTTTGATTTATCAACTTATCGTAGTCACCCACTCTTATGTTCTGAATTGCGTGATTTGGCACTTAAACTTCCTATTATAAAAAAACAAATTTGAAAACAAATATCAATAATACAAATGCGGGTCCTTCTTATCAAAATGTGTAGGTCGATAGTAGATAGGTCATTTGGCAAGTAGGCATGTAGAGGTACATGTCCCGCTATCTCGCCTGTCAATATATGATGTTATATATGATTATAGGCACTCTCGTATAGTATTGTACAGCACGATTCTGTCATTTTGAACTTCATTTTTGACAAGTGAGAAGTTTCTATAAAGGTGAAAAATAAGTTTTGAAGACCATATAGTTCAATATGCTCATTAATCACCGTAAAGTAGTATAATTCCAAAAGATAGGGTGACAAGATAACTTAAAACATGCACTCTATGTACTTTGAAGCCCAAATTATGCAAATACACAATTTTAAAAAAGGACCTGCATATGGTCTGAATATAATTCTTACTCACCTAGAATCTTTTATGATGTACATGCTACTAAATATGTTAGCACTAATTGGGCAAATTGAAGGTCCAACATTTGGTTGTGCCATTGTGTTTGATCATTTGGTTGTGCCATTGTATTTCAAGTCAATCTGAAAGCATAAATTTTAAAAGATGAATAAAAAGAATTGTTATTATTCTGATGTAAAGTAACTTTCGAATGATATAAACCACATTTTAAAGCATTCTCTACTGCACCATATGGGAACCATTGTGTCCTACATTAACCTAGCATAGCTGAGGAATTATAAACTTTTCTTGAAAAATCATCTGACAATTAGAGTGCATTTCACCAGGATACAGCTACAGTAGCAAATATTTATACTAAGGAACAAGTGAATGAAATGTGGATGGCAGCTTTATACACTGGTCATTTGTCAAGAAATACTAGAAATATTGCCCTTTAAAGGGTAAATTCAAATAAGTAGAGGATTTGGTGAAATTGAGCAGGCTCAAATGAGAATTACTTTTTGGTTTGTTTTGTTTATCAATTCCATAAGAGACCAAAAATTTGAGGACTCAAGATTTTTTATAAACTGATTTGAAGGTGAGGCTTGTCAGAATATCTTGACCATTTCTAAGATGTCAATGACCTTGGTACTGGTGGCTATTACTTACTAGGGACCACCTCAAACAATCAAACAATGTTTAACTAATGTAAAAATACATACATCCAAAATGCAGATATTTTCTATGGTATGCTCGAAGCCCAAAACTACTTTGACCCACACCTCAACAAAAGTTCTTGTTACGGGTTCAGAGAAATGCTCCCAATATGAGAAGGCACACAAGTTCTGAGATTTCTAAATGGTCCCCCAAACACATCAGCAGTCAGCACACTCCCATGAAATACTCTCTCTTTCTCATGGTAGTAAGGTGCATCCAAGACACTTGTTTGTTGTTTAGAAATCTTGAGATTTATTAATTAAGCAGTGTTTATATCAGTACTCAGACCTAGGGTAATTTATCTTGGTAAGCTGTCATTTCTTCTGTTGACCACTGTTGACCTTATCTACTAATACCTACTGGACACATGTCTACCTAAAATGAAATGTTGCGATGGAAGATAGCATTTTCATGCAAAATAATGTGAAAAAAAACACAATGAAATTAACAAACAATGAGACATTAAGTCAATATTTTAGATATTGAGAAAATCATTCTCTTTAATAATTAGTGAGATACTGATTGGAGCAACCAATGTAATACTAGACGACATTTTAAATGTGGGTCATTGTCTGGGCAACTTACTTATTTTCACATTTATCATATTGACAATTAAATCTCTCTTTTTGATCCAGAGTATATTTTTAAAGAAATCAAACAATAAATTCTGAAGAAATATCATATATTAGCCCTGATTGGTTCATTAATCCTTCAAACATTCTTCCCTCCTTCATGTGGTGAATTGAAATGCCCTAATATACCCCCTGATATACCCCTACATCCAACAAACATATCTAGGGAAATACATAAAAGAGCCTTGATGCAAGACTCCATGTTCTCATTTTGTGCCATATTCCATTTTTCTAATTAATAGCCCAGCATCATGAAGCCACTCCTCCTGAGTTATTTACTTGATAACAAAATCTAGAATCTGATCATATAAATCAGAGAATATATTTATCTTCTACATCATTTCATCACAATATATGGAAAGCATCAACCAGGGGGGTAGAACGGCCCATCCCTAAATGTTTTGTTCATGTCTTATCTACACTTTTTCTCTTAAAATATGAATGAAGTCTCTACTTTCCTTGCATTTCTGTACAATTTAAAGTGTTGCCTTCGTGCACATTTACTTTATTTCTCTGTGATTCCATTGATTGTCATTCTATTTTCTACTTCAAAATACGATAAAGAGGAAGTTTTTTTGCGGGTGAGGTAACTCAACTCAACTATTTTGCGCAGTGTTGAAATGCCTCCAAGTCTCCTAACAACAGCTCTATTGTCTTTCTCCAACCATTTATATCTTTTTATCACTCTATTGGGGGTATTTTCAAACTGGGCGATAATGGGCTTGGATATTTTTACAAACATTTTTGCCTGAAGGAACACCCTCTTTGCCCCTAGTGCAATGATTTAGGAGCAATTTAGCCCATCTACAATCACCATGAATTTTCTCTTTGATACCAAATTTAGTAGTTCTTTGAAAATAAGTTCTAACAAAAATTTGATGGTTTTGACATATGTTGTTTGACTCTTTAGGATTGAAGCCATAGCAGATAAAAGCAGGTATAAGTTTTCCAATTAAATTGTAGTTTATCGTATATTATCAAGTGTTTATTAGAGCAGGATCAAAGCCATCAAGGGGGAATCATCTATCTCAACATCACCATGCCATTCTAATGCATGGTTAGCATCAAAATTGAGCCAAGCAATATTGGTATCAACAATCTAAACACAAGTTTTAATTGTTTGTTCTCTTATTATCAGCTGAATGAAGGATAAGTATCAAAGCAAAAGTTAACTTGTTATCATACAATTATTTTTTGATGATGGTTTATCAGAGAGTTATCTTCATTTGAATGATTACAAGGTAGTTTTCCAATCCCACATCTGACACCGAATGTAGCGACGTAAACCACCTGACTTACCACATAAAAGATGAAGAGTCTTTCATCATAATCATCTCAATGCAGTTTATTAATTTTTCAGATTCAAATTCCTAAGTTGAGGTGACAAAAATGATTATGATCATTGTTTTGAGTGTATATGATAGGTAGTAAGCTAGGACACAAAAATGTTTTTACCAGTGAACAAATTGAAATTACTTGTTTCTTATGTATTTTTATGTGATACTTCAGAATTTTTTTGTCTGACGCGCCGTATCCGGGGCGAAAGTTGCCAAAGTGGGGTTTTAGACCCTAATATAGAAAATAACAGGGGGTACTTTATTATCCTTGAATAACTTTTTCAGTTGATCCTTAATCATCACAATAACTTTACTGGAAGTTGTTAATATCATTCTTAACTAGTATGCAAAGTTTCAATGATCTGTCATTAATGGTTGTCATGGAAACCATGATCTTTGTTGAAAAAGTCCATAATTTTGGTAAAACCTTTACCTCTACATCATACAGAATATGCATTATTTTTCAAATCAACAGATATCAGAACATGTTAGTACTCTAAGAATTATCAGGACAGTTCAGACATTTGTTTAAATATAATAGATATTGTTATTCACATGATTGGGTCACAGACCATACAATTACATAGGTGATCAAAAGTGGGCGTCGCCCTTATAATAGTAGGTGATTACGTTTCCCTATAAATACAGATTTTAAGTTGACTTGAGATACAATTCTTTTACCATAATCTATATTGAGCAATTCTGGAAGATACATATAAGTGTTGTAGGTATTACATCATGCTAGGGATGGGGGGAGTATATGGGGGGGTAGAGGTAACCAGCCTTATATAAAACTCATATATAAAGTATTAGTTTAAAAGTGGGGTTTGCCTTCATTATAACAGGGTTCATACACCTTTTTAAAATGAAAATCCCTGACATTTCCAGGCAAAAAGGAAAGTCTTGCCCATCCCACTAAAAAGTCTCAAACAACTGTATTATTTAAGACAAGACATATTATGAAACATTTTGGGGTTCTCATTTAGTACCATTTTCTCATACCGGTAACTTAGAATTACTTCTAAAAGCCATCTTATTCACCAATTTATTCCTGATAGATTACATTTTTAATTTTACAGATTTTACATTGCATAAGGTTAAAGGTAAACATACTTGTACAGGGAGTACCCAGTAAATGTTAAGGGGGTGAAATTATTTGGGTTTGCATCACTATGAGTGAAGCGAAACCCAAAAGGGAATACTGCGGTTCACCTCCCGAAATTTTTAAAAATTTACATTGTAAATGGTGCATTCTAAGTATTTCAAACTATAATTTGTCAACTACTGATCATTGTTAACATTATATGATAACAATAACCTGGCATTACTATTGTCTTCTCCCTTTGGGAAAATCCACACCAAGACATGACACCATATTAGAAATTCCTTCTCTAGTAGCGACACTATACGGAATAGTCCTATGATACCAAATAAAATAATCGGTATTTGTATTATCAGGAATCATGCTTCTTCTGAAAACAGCAACTTTTTGAGTAGCAACAACCTTTTTTCTAGAGCATGTGCCCATCTGCACAATTAATCTGAACCAAAAATGGTGAAAGTGTCTTTTTGAGCAGAGGCCCTATATGACCAAAGCATCAGTACATAAAGTTTGAACAAAATCTGTGAACTGATATTTGAGTTATTGCCTTGACAGATGGGCAGATGAATAGACTGATGTAAGACCAGACTGTGGAACAGACAGCTTTGTGGAAACAACTGAATGTTAGAATTTGGATTTCATTGATATCCTGTCATAGCCTAAAATGAATTTTGCTGGAACATTATATTTCAACATTGATAAAAAATTCCCTGACATATCTACTGTTTCAAAATTCCCGGACATTTTTGACTCTTTTTGACCCAATTTTAACATTCCCTGACCTTTCCAGCACCTGGAAATTAAATCAATTTCCCTGACATTTCTATTCTTAATTCTAAATATGGAGTTTAACTTATAAGATACAATTATACTGTATATCTGTTACCATAATTCATATCAAGCATTTCTGGAAAACACATAGTATAAGTCTTGAAGTGGGGGGATAGAATGGGTGGGTGTGGGGGGGGGCTATGCTAACCAGCCTTAGGTATAAATCTCATCAACATAATTTTGTGTCTCATAGTCAGTATATTTCTTGGCCTTGCATTTTCTTAGCATTATATTTTTCCCTTTGGTTAAGTTGCTGCCAAGCCTCTTCTCATCATTTCATACCGAAATATGTGAAGCCCTCCCAGCACTTCACACTTTCACTGGGTGTAACACTGTAAGTGCCATGGTTCGGAGGGGCAAAGTAACACCTTTCAAAACAATGGCAAAGGTGGAGAATCATACAGACACATTCAAAGGACTAGGACTCTCAGCAGACATAAATGACGAAACAACCAGTAAAGTAGAAAAGTTTGTATATACCATATACAGGGTGTTTCATATGTATGCACCTTATACATTAAACT